AACAGATAAAAATTCCTGCCTCATGGAGTTTATATTCTACTGGGAAAAACAGACAAGTCTAAATTTGATTAATGAACATAAATTTAGGGCTTCAGGTTAATACTTCTTAGCAATTACTGTAAGCAAAATAAGTATTTATTTTACCTTCTTTTATCAAATTTTATTTTCCAGAATTTTCACTTCACTAGTTAGAAAAACAAATTTATGTCCTCAGGCCAGTAGCCAGACAGATTCAAGTAAATTAAGATTTTTTTTTTATGCTAGCTTTCCTACTGTAACAAACCTATTTTCCCTCCTTTGTTTCTCAGAGTGTTGGGATTATGTCAGCCCTTCCAGATAATGTCCATAAAGGATGACTAGACTCAGAAAAAATGAGAGGCCAAATGGTATAATGGAAAGCATATGTTTGGGAATTAGACACGGCCTGAGTTCAAATCTCAATTTTTCACATGTTGTGTAACCTTGGGCAAGTTACTCTCTATCTCCAAGCTTCGGTTTACCCAACTGTGAAATGGGAATAACTTCACTCTAAGGATTAAAAAGAATAATTTCTAAAAGGCCCTTGACACAACACCTGGAAAAAATGGAGAAATGCTAGAAAAATGGAAGCAGCTACTGCTGCAACTATTACTACTACTATTACTGCAATGTGCTGTGCACAAAACAGATGCTCAATAAATGCCTTTCTTCTTCTTCTATAGACAGTATTAATATCATGGGCAACTATAAGGCTCTAATTCAGCAGGTTATTGTATTCTAACCCCCCAGAAGTTGTATACAGGAACTTAAAAGAATTAAATGCATATTAATTTCATAAATGAGCTTAAAACATCTTTATTTTCTAACTTAATGGGATATATTTATCCTCCAAACAAAAGTTTCGATGGTGATATCACAAGTAGAAAAACATGATTACTGAATCACATAAAAATGAATGGAAGTGGCATTGCTTTAGAAATCATCCACCAAAGATTGACACCATTAACTTTATCCTCTGTAATTAATCATTTCTATAGTATCTTACATTTGGAAAAAAAATTAAGTGATTTTCTAACTATAACCACACAATAATCCAAATTGTAAACAACACCCTCAGAGTTGTCCTGAAGATTAAATGGCACAATATACATGAAGATGCCTGATCCGGTCCGTGGCATGTAGTATGGACTCAGTATGATAACTTAAGTGAAATCTAACCCTCTTATTAATGAAAAGGACCTTATAACAGCAATTGTAACACAGGATTTATGGAACTAAAAGGCTTAAAAATCACACCAACCTAATGCTGACCCAAACCAGAAAGGTATTCATTCTAATATCTCGAAGTTTAATAACAAAGAGGTTTGTAAGTTAAATCAAGACACATACCAACACATAATGAAAACCAACATTTCACTCTTCCCCTAAAAAATCCTACAAGTAAAAATTTAATGAAAGGGTTTTTTTTTAAGCCTAGAAATGTAAGTTCCTCTTACTTTCACTTTTTAAAAATATTGCTTCTGTTTTCTTTAAGATTTATTATTTATTTATTTATCTTTGGCTGCATCGGGTCTTAGTTGCAGCATGCAGGATCTTCGCTGAGGCATGTGGGATCTTTTGTTGGGCACACGGGCTTCACTCTAGTTGTGGTGTGCAGGTTCCAGAGCACGTGGGCTCTGTAGTTTGCGGCATGCGGGCTCTCTAGTTGAGGTTTGTGAGCTCAGTAGTTGTGGTGTGGGCTTAGTTGCCTGCAGCATGGGGGAATCTTAGTTCCCTGACCAGGGATCGAACCTGCATCCCCTGCATTGGAAGGTGGATTCTTTACCACTGGACCACCAGGGAAGTCCCTTACTTTCCTTTTTTTAAAATGCAAATTCCAGAATCCCACAAAATATAATGAAATTATCAGAATAAAGGTTATAACTCTTTGCCTAGGAAAGAGCACTGACACCAGCTGGAACTGGCTCAAGTGGAGTGTCCACAACAACCAGGGGTGCCCCTTCACTCACAGATGACGCCATTTGAGACAACCAGTGTCAGGACTGGATGTTCCCCCTAACAAGTAGCTTTTCTCCAATCCTCTGGACTGTCCATGTGGACACTTGGACCTGCTTTCTCTATATGCAGATGACTCCAATACTTACACCTGTCCCACAAGGTAGAAACCCTGTAAACACTCCAATCTCAGTATGTGCAAAATTAAACATCTCAAATCTGCTCCTCCTCTGTCCCTGTGTCTGTTAATGGTAACACCGTCCTCTCAATCACCTAAGATAGGATCTAGTTTTCTTTCCTTCACCATCCCCCTCTCTTCCCAAGAGCAAGCCAGTTTCAAAGAAAGATCTGTCATTCACCTCTACAATACCACCGAGCACCTAACCCTGCCTCCATTCCCACAGCTTATCTCAAGTTCTCGTTACTGCTGTCCTGTCCCATGTCAACAGTTCCAATCTAGTTGCCCACCATCTCTCATGCTCAAAGTGAGTCCACCTTCTCTGAATATTACAGACAGACTGATCTAGCTATATATATCCCTCCCCACCCTGTGAGCCCCCACTGTCTACTAAGGCATCCCAGATTTTCAGAACTTGAAGAACTCTCCTCTGACCCAACCATCCATTCACTTGATCGTGGAAGTTCCTCAAATTCAAAATGCTCTGGCCCCATCTTCAAAGGCCATTCCTGCTCTGGCGCCAATCTAAAAGCCTGTAATATCATGAAAACAAGATGAACTATGCTATTCTACTGCTCACAGGCTAAAGGTCAAAATTCTCAACCCAACCAACAGGGCTCCACAAGGCCTGGCTCCTGCCTATGTCGCCAGTCTTGCTCCCCTTTGCTCTCTCTGCTCTAGCCACCTGGCTTTCTATCCATCCTGCCATGATCCCTCTCATCTCCAAGCCTCTGTACGTAATGGACCCTCAGCACCCCACCTCCCATGTAGGTGGTGGCATTTCACCCTTCAGATCTCAACTCAAAAGCCACTTATTCAGACACTAACTTTACCTTTTTTTTTTTGTTTTTTTTGTTTTGTTTTGTTTTTTGCGGTACGTGGGCCTCTCATTGCTGTGGCCTGTCCCGTTGCAGAGCAACAGGCTCCGGACACGCAGGCTCAGTGGCCATGGCTCACGGGCACAGCCACAACGTGGCATGTGGGATCTTCCCGAACCGGGGCACGAACCCGTGTCCCCTGCATCGGCAGGCGGACTCTCAACCACTGCGCCACCAGGGAAGCCCACTAACCTTACCTTTCCGAACTAAATCAAGTCCTCCGTTTGCCCCCTCCTCTTCACTTCCATAGCTTTAAGAAAAATCATAAGAAATTGATTACTGTTCCCAAGCTAGAATGTAAGCTCCGTAAGAGCAGGACTGTGTCTGTCTCATTAACCACTGTAATCTCATAACCCAACCCAGAGTAGCCCTCAACAAGTTTGTATAGATTAATGAAGTTCATAAACTAGAACCACATTACCCAGAACCCTAAGTAAAGGTACAAGGCTGGCCCTACAGTACACTAGTCTTGAAATTACTTGCTTTCTCCATAATGATAAAGAGCTCAGCTCTTCAACGTTCTCCGTGTTCCCTTGAAGATCTGACATTACGTGAGTCTATAATTCTACAGTTCCAAACTTCTCTCTCGCAATTCTCTTCTATATACCCTGGCACTAGCAATACTTTACTTTCTGGTCTCCACAATTTTGTTTGCATCCTTGGTTCCATCTGAAATTTTTTTCCCAGTGCCACACCTCCAAATCCTACTATCGTCAAGTGCTCAAATCCAACGTCACCTCCTCCTCAAAATATCCGTTGTACCCCCTCAGCTAGTCACACCCTCTCTGCCCCTGAATTCCCACAGGTTCTCCCTTACCTCATTCAGGTCTCAGATCAAATGTCACTTCAAATGAGTGCTTTCTCCTAAAGTTACCAACTGGTTATAATTGTCTATCAGGCCATCCTGACTTACTTTCTTGACAGCATTTACCATTACCTAAAATTATTTGTGCTTTTCTTTATTTATTTACTTCTCCCCACTAGAATGTAAGATCTATGAGAGCAGGGACCCTGTCTGTCTTGTTCTTCATATTTCCCCACTCTTCCATATCTGACATCAAAAAAATTCGGTAAATATCTGCCAAAAGCATGAATGACTCTGTAGCCCTTATGATTATGGTTATCTATGTACAAATCTTTCTCTGGCTATATTCCAACCTCTGTGGACTAGGCCAAAGTCTGGCTAATCTATTTGTTTGTATTATCCAGAAATCCTTGCACAACTAAAGCAAATAATAGTTAACTACTAATTAATTAATGAATGATCTCTCCAAGAGGTACTGCCCTGAACCAGGCCAACTCAGAACTCCATATTCTCCAGAAACCAGGGCAAACAGGAACCTCCTTCGATGCCCTCTCCATGACAGACCTTGTTCCAATCCGCCTCCTCCAGTGAGCTTCCAAAGGCTAGTTTCTTCACTTTCCTTTAGCCAATAACCGATGGTTCTTCTATCTCTACTATCTCACAATCCTACCCTTTTCCCTTCTATCTCCAGACAACGAATCTCTCCCAGGGCCCTGTTTCTTCGGAGTACCCCACATCTCCAATCAGTCCAGGAACTCATCAGGCTCTAGAGAACGAGGGGATGTTCCAAAGAAGTGTTAAAGGAAGACTGGCTCTCTCACCTTTTCTTTTATGCCTCGTTTTTCCGAAAGAGGCCCAGTTTCAGAGACTGGCTTTGAAACTCTTCGGGATCCTAAGCTTTCGTCCCATGTAGTCCGCCGCGCCCAAACCCCTTTGGGGTGCCCCCACCCTTGCCTCGAACCTTTTCAACTTCTCTTACAGGAAGACCCCAGGCCAGAGACGATGATCTCCCGGGAAGCAAATGGTCCTCAAACACCATGGGGCGGCCCTATCCCCCCCACTTTATGTCGGGCAGCCGCCTCCGGCCTGAGGCCGTCTCGAGCGGCCCTTAAGCCTCGGCCTCTGACTGAGCCCTGCCCTCCGACACCCCCCCCACACCACTCACCTGAAGCGGCCACCACAGTGCTGGCATTGCTCGCCCACCCAGCCGGCGGGGCAGACGCACTGGCCAGTGCCAGGATTGCAGCGGCCGCCGTTGACACAGGGCCGGTCGCATTCCTTGGCCTCTGCTGCGGCTGAGCCCGACACCGCCGTCGCTGCCGCCGCGGCCTCAGCAGCCCAAGGAAGCAGCAGCAGCGGCGGGAGCAGCAGCAACAGCAGCAGCCGCCGCCGCCGCCGTGGGAGGCGCAGCCGGGTCCCCAGCCCTGGCCTCCCAGCCCTGGTCGCGTCCCAGTCCCGGCACCGCCTGCTGTTCCTGCTCTCGGGCGCTGGCGTCGCCACCGTCCTCCTCAGCCTCGCCTCAGTCGCCGCCGCCGCCGCCACCATCTTCCCGGGGCTGAGACGGTGCCCCACGAACACATATACATACACACACACACACACACACACACACACACAAACACACACACACACACACACACAAACCCGCGCGCGCGCGCGCGCGCGCACACCACAGGACACAACCGGCTCTCCTTCGCCTGGCCGTGCGGGGCGGGGCTGTGAGGACGGTGGCTCGGGCGGTCAATCCTGAGGGCGGGGCCGAAGCTGCGCGGGAGGCGGGGTCGGCGCATGCGTGCGTGGGCGGGGCACGCGGCCCTAGAGGCAGACCTCTAACGCGGATCCTGGGCTTAGGCGAGGCCTTTCCGACCTCCATAACGAAGCGCTCTATTGCTCTAGTTTTATTCCTTCGCCCGGTGAGGCAGCCCCTGCGTAGCGGTCCTGAAGCACCCTTTTCCCGTTCGCTGCCTCGGATCCGGTCCCTCTGCTAACCAAGCCGGCAGAGTTGAGCGCTGCGGTCCCGAAGACCCAGGCGCCGGTCATCGCTTTACCCCAACTCTCGCTGCGGGGCAGAAAGGGCCTAGGAGGAGTCAGCGTCGTGGTGTGACGCTAAGTGCGGTACTGTAGCAGTGCTGCCTTTGAGCTTCTGCTTTGTCCTCTGTAGTATAGGGTTAACGAAGTAACACCTGTGTTAAGAACCTAGCGCATTGGCTATGCTCAATAAATGCCTAGAACTGAAGACACACAGTGCGGCCTCCCTTGATACAGGCTGATTAAGTAGCAGACCAGACCACACACCTTTAATCCTGTACAGGAAGTTTGAGGTTACCTTGCTCCCCGCTATTTGCTCTCCAATCATCTCTGAAGAAAGGGCAGCATAAAATTAGGAACTGGAGCATTCCCCCCTCCCCCCCTCACACACAGTTCTGCCCCTGGAGCCCTTCTCAGGTAGTTTGTTACTTTGGTGCCCCCCAGTGAAACATGCCTCCTGGCAGTACAACCTTGTGTGGTCCCTGACCCTGGAATCTGGACAGACCTGTGACTCGATTTAACTGAAGAAGAATGTGGGGCACGTGATGATGTGCCGGTTCCAGTTCTGAGCCTTTAAGAACAACCTAGCAATCTTGATTTTGAGCTCTTGATAGTCCTGAGCTGCAACTGCTCTTCCACCTTGCTGCAGAGAGACCACATGGAGGAAAAGTAGGAACCCAGTTATCACCAGGAACTGAGATCCCAGACACAAGAACCTGGTGGACCCATCCCAGCTGAGGGACAAAATCACTGAAGGAAGAAGCCATAGTTCCAGCCATCTCAGCCGTTCCACATTATGTAGAACAGAGAGAAGTCTTTCCTACTATACCTTATGCAAAATCCTGAGAAATTATAAACTGGCTGCTGTTTTAAGCCTCCAAGTTTTAGAGAGGTTTGTTACTCAACAATAGATAACCAGAACATTGTCTGACATAAGCCTTGTGGTGGGATGAATATTCCCATGGCAGCTATCTCATAGTTTGGGCACCTTGCAGTCCGTGGGAAACAAAGAAAGGCCCTCATGTACCTGTGAAGCTTCTCTTCACAGAGCACAGAATTCTAAAATTCTACGATGTACCTCATAACCAGGTCCTGACCTTCCTCATTCTGCATTCCCTTAAGCCTGCTGAAGCTGAACTGCACAACAGCCAGCTCTCCACCCACACATCCCTCCTATTCCTACGTGACACCCCTTGTTCAGCCTAGGCCCTAGCACTGGCATTCTGGTTTGCAGGTTATGTTTTGCCACAGTTTCCTACATGGCGATGTGCTGGATGAGACAAGAAAATGGAAGACATGGCCCTACCATGGGACAGGCTGACATGGAGCCATGCCCTGGCCTCAGGAGGCACTGCTCCTCCAGGCCAGAAGTGGAACCAGCCTATTCCACCACTCCCCAGAGCAAAACTGAGCTCAGGCTGTGAAGTTTCATGTGACTTTACCAACCCTTGAGGTTACCAGGAAATGGCTCGCATCTACACAGCAGCAGTATGGCTGCTCTCCAAAGCTCTCAAACCTTGCTGCAGCAAACATTCTTTTTCTTACTTCTTTAACCTACGCCCTTCTCTGGTTCTTTTTCCTTAGGCTTCAAACATGCTCAAATTATCTTGTCCTTAAAAAACAAAATCTTTTCTTGTGACGGGAAGTATTGATATTTTCTTTCTCCTTTACTGTTGTTGTCAGAGTCCACTACACTTTCTGTTTCTGTGTGGTGCATTAAAGATGGCTACAAATTCTTTTACACTATTTATGTGGGGAGGTGGGGACTAATCCCCTCACTCCTTGAATCTGGGGTGGCTTTAATGATTTGTTTAACCAGTAGACTATGATGGAAGTGATGTGTTGAGACTTTTGAGTCTAGGTCATAGGAAGTTTTGCAGCTTCCTCCTGAGTGTCTTGGAACACTTGCACTGGGGAAATCCAGCTGCCTTAAAAGAAGTCTAGCCACTCTAAGACTGCCATGCTGTGAGGAAGCCAGCCCACAGCCATTCAAGTCTTCCAAGTTGAGGCCCCAGACACTCATGAAGCAGAGGGGTATATCTCTGCTG